TGCAACTCGAAAGTGTGTTTCGCGTGCACTGGAGGCCGTTTATTTTGTTACATGGACGCAGTGCTAGTGCTACACGATCGCTGAAAGGTTGGATATGCACAATCGAGGTCATGCTAACACAGGAGAAATCATAGATAACTTAAGGTCACTGATAAATGCTTAACTATTGTTGGTTTATTTGCCAATTACCGGTTTGGTTTGCGATTTATATGCCCTTGTATTATGCTTTCTGTGAATCATAAAAAATCCCGCTTACTTCTCGAAATCATAGGTCATTCTTTTCTTTAGAAAATAAACTTGCAGATATGGCACTCAACAGATAAGCATCGTGAAATCTGCAAACTTGAAGTTTGGACCATCTGCACTCGTCTGCGGTTTACTTGTAACAAAAACATTTCGTGGAACCCATATGGGGTAAACCGTAAACCGGACCCGCGGTGCTGAATCTAGGTGGACTTCACCCTGGCTGAATCATGGGCTGATGCAGCCTCGGTGAAACCCGTCGCGATTCAGCACCGCGATTTGGGCCCATCATTTGATGGAATGGGTACCCCGAAGCATACGGTTATTTTTCTCCCAACTCGTGTTCAAAGAAGCTCTGCTGATTTCCTTCGCCCAGACGAAAGCATTTTTTAAAGTTGTTATTCTGTGCCCTAAACAAACCACTTAGAACATAAGTAATGGCTATGGCGATTTTAAGGACTTTTCAAAATAAAAACACGGACAAAACCCGGAGAAACTGGGTAAAAAATAACCCGAATATTTGCGCCCCTGTACATTTTCAATAGACCGCATTCGCTTCTTGCTGCCAAGCCCATTGATGCGCATGTGTGAATAATTGTAAATTTATAAATAAAAATGTCCATTTTATCTTCTACATGACTGTCCAAAAAAGCTTGCACACTTATGCCAATGGACCGATCCAGTAAGCACCGCCCCATGGTATTCTGACCAATCACAGCCGTGATTTATGTCCGACATGCGTGCACAAAAGTCCGACATGCGTGCACGCGCGCGTATGCGCGCGGCAGGAAAATGCAGTGTGGCATTGGAGAGGAGCACGTGTTAATTTGCCCACGTGCGTACTGGGCGGGGCTTACTGGATCGGTCCATTAGCAATAGCCTGGTGTCTGACTGTGCTTTACATCAGCGTTTGTTTTTGTATGCAGCGTCTGGGGTGAAAACATAATCCATTCGACAGGGCATGAGTTCCCAAAACACCCTTTATGTTAGATATTAAGTTAACATGTCACAATCTTATCCAGCCTATCATTCTGCAGTGCCATATCACTATATTGATTTCGTATAAGCCAAATATAAGATGGAGGATCTTTGTGAGGTAAAAGAGGACGTAATGATTCACAGCGAACTTTAAAATGTAACAGGACAGCTTATTTATACACAATATTGAAATCCCCAGTGGGTGCTTCCACAACATCGTCCCTGGGGATTTTGTTATTTCCAACCCTGTTTTCAGTAATAAACCCTGGGTTTGAAACTTGTTTTCTTTATCCTGATTCGATACAGCAATATCGACGTGTATTACACAGTTTAATGTTCAATGTGCAATATTAAGCTTATTCGATCTCAAAAACCTCCACCATCTCTCTTTTCCATTTTGCTTAAAATAATATGTAATGAAGTACTGCATATTGGCTGGATAAGATTTTCACAGTTTAAATTGTGAACAAAACTATCCAGTCGCGTAAATCTGTGCTGGGGACTGGGGGGATGGGGGATGACTAAAATCACAAAATATCCCGGCAGTGGAAATTCGCATGGCGCGGGGGGGGGGGGGGGGGGGGGGGGGGGCGGGCCTTGGCTTGCTGGATTGCTGGACACCACATGACGCTAGGGGCGCTGTTCATGATACTGATGTTCATCTTATACTTACGCCCCTCAATCTTACATCAAAACGGCGCATTAAAGCCTTTGTACTTATTTGGCCTTTTTCGGTACTATTAAATACATTTTGCTTGTTAAGAAGTTCGAAAAGTACCTCAAAAATTTTTGTTGGGGTTTCTCAACACGAAAAGTGGTCAAAAAGTGGAGGCGGGGGATATACCCTAGAAACGAAGTTGGTGCATCCAGTTATAAATTTCATAAACCTAAGGTGTCATATCCTGCGGCTTCAACCAATGGAATCCACATAAAATCTAAATAGTATTCTTTGAAGCACAATTAAATCTGAGTGTTTTGGGCATCCACCTGTCATCCTTAAAAAAAAAACTACCTGAATGGTACAGATTTCTGAGGAAACACCATTTAAAACCATTGAAGTAATGAAGGGTAAAACAAAATACTTTTAATAACAACTCCCCCCCCCCCCTCATTGATGTTTATTTGTTCGAAGATATACGACAACAAACCGATACATGTAAAGTTCAAATCTGCAACATTTTTTGAAATGTATTGTATTTATTGCTATATCGCAATCAAAATGACAAAAAGCTGTAGCTGAAAAGGTCACTCGACAATGATCAAAATACAATAACACCAAAATCTATAAATCATGTGAAAAAGTTAATAATTAAAAACAAGTGCATTAACTAAAATGTGCAAAACTTGCTGGATGAAATAAACAAAGATATGACAGTGATCTCAGCATTAAAACAAGATAATTAAAAATACATAATTACACCACATTCTGGACTAGAATAAAGGACTAGGGAAAGGGAGACACTTTAATTATTTTTTAGATTAGGTTACTAGTTGTGGGGAAATCGACATTTTGTATCTACCTGTAGAACATTTAATCGTGGTGAAACATGACATGTAAAAGAATGGGAATCAGATTTGGAAGATGCAAGTAGCAGCTGTCTGTGACGGTTTGGTTTCAAAATTTAGTCCCCAAATTAACAAGAAAATTATTTCTTCGTTCAACCAAAGATGGAGTTTGATCAGAGCAAAAGCTTCATTGTAACTGTTTTTCTTTCCACGTATAATTTTGTGCAAATTCTATTTTCTTAGACTTGGATTGAGTAGTGGCTCTATGCCAGCTGGTGAGGCATATTCTAATAATATGGGCCTTATGTAAGATTTGTAAACGGTTACAATATCCTCGATGGGAACACTGGATTCCTATTCAAAAAGCGTTAAGTGCACAAGCGTCGAGAAGCGTTGGAAACGATGTCAGGTTGTTCATCTTTGTTCATGACATTTTGAAAGGATGCGGTTAACAACGATGTCAGAGATATCCCAATTCTACTTAAGACCTTTTGAATTATAATGCCTAGAAGTCTTAAATGTGAAACTACATTTTTAAAACCACTTTTTTCGGGGGGGGGGGAGGCCTAATAATATTCATAATAGTCTCAAAAGGGAAATAGTAGTAACACTACACTTAACAGGTTTTGGAGGGACATCATTTAGTCTACACCAATCTGAAATATTATCAAAGTTATTTTGAAGAACAGGTTGTTCATGTGTGTTCATGACATTTTTAAAGCATGCGGTTAACAGATGGGTACCCATGCTTCAGTTTGCATGTTTGTCGTCACCAAGCGTGAAAAAAACTTCCATTTTTTGGCTATAATAATAATTATAATAATAATAAATTCAAATCGCATTGCGCGGACTATGATCAATCGCAAATTACATAATGTACCCCAGAAATTAACAGTAAAATAACATGAATTAAAAAAAAATAATAATCCAATGTTGAAAAAGCGGGTACAAATAACATAAGTAGGCCTACATCTAAGTAATGTCTATCAAGACAATAAAAATACAAAATTAGCTGATATATGAGCAATAGAATTAAAAGCCAGTTTTAAAAAGTCTTAACTTTACGCTTAAAGCTATAGTCCATCATTTGTAATTAGTGCATTTTGTTCGTTCGAAGCAACAAAAGTGTTCAAAATCTAATGAAGGGTACTGAGCAACTAACCTGATGAAGTTTCAGCTAAGCTTCAGCTGTACATTCCGAGAAAAGCAGCATTCTAAGATCACAATTTTAAACCAAAAGTTACTGAATCATGTTTTGAATTGTTTTGAATTGCAGCTATACACGGCGTCGCGCACTGATCCGACGAATTATAACAACCGCGCGCGCGTGTGCGTCGTTCCAATACTTGTGCGCGCTGCGCTAAATAACAAAACGAACTACTAATTAAAATTTTCCTACGGTGCTTCTTAAGAATCACCGTTGGAAATGCCTTCTTTTGTTGATTACTTCAAAATGACAGCTTCCCAGAAAGAATAATTTCACAGGGAGTTTAGTTCTCTTACTATCTTTCAACCAAGTTTGTTTGTCAACAGTAATTACGCCAGTTACTTTTCGGATGGCTGCAAATGATGAACTATAGCTTTAAGCAGTACAGGTTTTGGTCCGAGACATTTAAGATCGATGGTTGCAGGCCAGTAAATAGGCCAATGATTGCATACCCTCAAATGTTGTAAGCCGTGAACTTGAGGTTTTAACAAAGGATGGAAGCCGTGAACAGGGCTACAAGCTTTATTTCTCTAAAATGGGGATACCATTTTGCCCCAAACTTGCTCTATGCTGCAATGGAACGAAGGCGTTTCTTTTTCAAAATGGCGATGACTTACAAGACTACTTTTAGAGTTGATCGTCATTGGGTGGTAATTTCTCCCAAATGTGATAGAATTATCAGAAGAAAAAAATGAACAGAAAATACAAGATGAAATAAGCTTACATTTAATGTGTATCTATAACCATATTGGAGAGCAGTGAGTATTTTTCCTGATTTTTTTTAAGTGGTGTCTATAGCAATTTACTGCTCTGCAACCTTAACATGGACAGCCACTGCAGGACAGATTTTATAGGGCGCCCCCTTTAGCTGATGTTGACCATCCTGTTTTGAAATGTGTCAAGCGCGAGAATATCCACTTTTGATCACAATGGACCGATCCAGTAAGCACCGCCCCATGGTATTCTGACCAATCACAGCCGTCATTGATGTCCGAAATGCGTGCACAAAAGTCCGACATGCGTGCACGCGCGTATGATGCGCGCGGCAGAAAAATGCAGTGTGGCATTGGAAAGGATCGCGTGTTAATTTGCCCACGTGCGCAGTGGGAGGGGCTTACTGGATCGGTCCATTGTCTTGAACTAAAATTACCTTTGGGGAGCGGTTGTCGAGAATTTAGCACTTGGTCGCGTACGCGCTAAACTGGAACTGGAACTCCCCAACGGATGCTCCGGTCTTGGGATCGTAAGGTCCACCCAAGCAGACGATGAGGGCGTACATCTGCGTCCAACGGCCACAGGGAGTCACCACCGTGTTGCTGGACAGTTGCTTCCTGCTGTCAGCAATAATGTTACCAGGATGACTCAGCTATAAATATAAAGGGGAAAAAGAACTATAAATCAATAACCCGTCTTCAAACGAATGAAATGTTCTTTACAGCATATCATGCCACAATAGATGCTGCGAAAACTTGTAATACTGTAATAATAGAACACTATAGTTGTTACCAATTAAAACACCTCTGCCATCGTCAGAACATTCTAACAAGGGGTAAAGTATGAAGCTGTTGATTTTTCTCTTTTTTTCACGAGTTGCCCAGTGGCGGATCCAGGAATTTTCGCAGGCTGGGGTTTTTATCGGCACAAACAAATCTGAAATGTAGAAACTTTTTTCTCCGGACATTTGGCATGCGTCACATCAAAAAGCTGGGGGGGGGGGGGGGGGGGGGGGGCTCACACCATACTTTCAATGGGGGCGCTGTTCAAATCTGATGAGTATTTAACACTATATCAAGGAATAATGTACAGTACATATACCCTCTTACCAAGCTGGCTCTGTTTGTATTTCTTCCAAGGCGGACATTGTTACTAGCAAACGAATTTTGGGTGTCGGAACGGGGGGGGGGGGGGGCGCTATTTTCAGGAATGTCTACGAGGAAAAAAAAATTAAAGAGCTGAGGGGGGTTTGGATCCCCCCCCCCCCTCTGGGTCCGCGCCTGGTTGCGAAAAAGCTAGCTTAAGGCAACATTTTGGTGGCGTACACTGTATGGTGCATTTAGGGTACTATATTTATCTCAATGAGGCAATTGGCAGGCGTACATCACACGGTAATTGGTCGCAGAGATACTGAGCCCAGGTGCCTTCGCCTTCCCTGCCAGTCACGGTGCTGGTGATAGTGTACTGCGAACCGATGGCCGGGGTCGGGCAGAAGTTGAAGCTGAGATGAGCCTCCTGTAGCCTCGGTAAGGTGTGAAAGGCCGTCAGTGTGATAAACTCAGCCAGGTAGATTGTCTGATCGGTGGCACGCATGGGCTTCTGTCCGGGGAGTCGACGGGGAAGAGGCTCGACAGCCGACTGCTTCACTGCGGGGTTGCGTTGGCCTACCTGCCGTTTTTTTTAACAAAACAATTCTCACTAATGAATACCTTAGACAGTTCACACAATCCTATTGGTCGAGGGCCTGTCACGTGGTCGAGAGCCTGTCACGTGGGCCGCAACTGTGGGCATTTATCATTGGGGTCTATATGGACATTAAGTTACTGGTCTGCAACCCTCATGTCGCAACTCTGTCTATATTTCTCTGCCCAATGCATGCAAACAGTGCTTCCCTGTTTCTGCATAATCATTAAAATCCTCCAATAAGTAGCATTATCACGATGATAACACCAATAACAGCCGCGTTCGCAACAAACATTGCTGTTGTTCGGGGAAAGTAAAAGGGACAATGATTTTGGCCTTAAATCGTGAAGAATTGAAAGTTTGGGATAGCTAAATAGTTAGAGAGACTATTTTCTTTCCCTTATGGCAACACAATATGTGAAAATTGAATGTAACCGCTTTCAAGCGCATGGAGATTTCTGTTTAGGAGTTGTCGGTTTAAAATTATGAATACAGCCGGGTCTCGGGTTAAGCTGCCAACATTGTAAAATGTTCAAACAGTTGGTTGTGTTTTGGTGCATAATTTTAGCATATGTTTAGTCAAAGAGATGCTTAGCTTTTCTTTTTTGCAGTTGGCCTGTAACTTTTAGTGCCATCAATAATACATGTGTATTTTGGAGTTCGTTTTCAGAGACATTTGGTGATGTAAAACAAGAGAGAGAAAAGTGCATACAGCCCGTAGAACCCGATAAATCTTTTGTTTGTGTACACGCATTACATTCATTGTGTGGACTTCCGATCAAAAGATGCCCCCTTAAAGTAAGAGTGCAAAGAGTTGTTTCCACAAGGTTTTCTTAACCATACGAAAACAAAAGAATGTCCTTACTAGGTATGTAACGAATACTGTGTATCGTGAGTTTGTTTCTGTAATCAATAGGGGACGTTGAACGATAGAGGACAATTTCCCTAAGGTTCCCAATTAACGATCGTGTACTAAACATTTGGGAGGTACAAACGAAAGTTAAGGTACAAACAAAAGAGGGACAATAGGGGTCCCCAATTGGAGGCAAAAACGTGCTGGCGTGTATCTGTGTGTTTTAGATTTATAATTTATACTTGATGGTAATATAAAGAGCTTTCGTTGTGTACCTTAACGTGTCACATCTATAAACATAAACATATATCTTCAAAACACTCAAGATTGTGGGTGCAAAGAAGTGTTTTGAAATGTGTTTCAACACAGTTTTTACGGAGATGACGCGACAGTTGGTGTAGGCCTATATAAAAGCTGGATGTGTTTCATTTTGTTTTGAATAATGTTTGTTATAATTATCACCCGCGCTTGTCGAGGACCATGCATGTGCATCATAACGAGAACACGACTAACAACACTCACTTTACGGGTTCTCTCAGCGTCCACTGTTAAGCTGACTGCCCCAACCAGATTGGCTTTGCCTTTGATGTACAGATCGCCCGCAGACGGCCAGGAACTGACCACACAAAGCGGCCCTGGCTTCCCTTGGTTCATGTTGGTACAGAGGGCGTCCTTCTCGGTCTGCAGAAATACAACGGTGTCACGTGAACTTATGAGGAACGCGTCACGTGAAGTTTAGAATGGACGCATGCATTCCGACAATTTACTAAAAAAACTAGGTGTGCCTAACAAAGCTGGTCCCGGACCTATGGTGACTAAGGGGTCAAGGTGACATTGAGTGACTGAGTTTTGGGGCTTGAACGTGAACATCTAATGGACAGTGGATCAGTAATTAAGTCATTTAGCTTTTATATAGAAAGACCACGAGTGATATGTACATTGTTCCCCCGGGCTGCTCCACCAAAGAGTTGCGGATTGTCACTTTTGAAGTGACAAAATCCCCACCCGGGGGGGGGGGCACATTTTGATAGGCGCATTATATTTTTCACAATGTTCTCACTACGGGGACAACACGGATTTTCGTGTCCATGGCGACCATATTGGATTCTAAAACTACTTTTTTTAGCAGTTGATCACATGACATGCCTATTAGACCAAAGTGAATGCTTTATTGGTTCAGGAGCAGACACGTTTAAATGTAACACATGCACACTTCTGTTAACGTTAGCGTGTGGTTACTAGAAGGTAACAAGGGACATCTAAACATTCGTTTGGCCATCAATCTCAGATCATCACGAAGCGCCTTCTTCCTTATTTGCCTATATCGTTCCGAAGACTTTTGGTTCCATTACGCGAGGGCGGTATTTTTTTACTTACAAACACGCGTTTCTTGTGAATTATGCAGGTTCAAAGTGAACGGTTTAGTCAAGTTTAACTTATCAACCTAAACAAAATAATCATTTAATCAGTTCATGGGTGGAAAATGGGAAATCTTAGGTTCACATATAATGCAATTATTTAATATGTATGCAAATGTTGTTTAGGTTTCAGTTCTCTACCTTGTTTGCCGAGTCAACGACATAATAATAGACCACGCCGAAGTCGACATACCACTTGGGGTTATTGTTCAGCACCATTGTCACGTTTATGTTGTCTCCCTTAGCTTGACCGCACAGGTAACCAACTAACGTCACTGCCTCGCTCTGCGCAAGCGTGGTGACCTCAGTCGTCAAGTACCTGGTTGCCACCGGGACATCGATCGCAGAAACTTTGGAAAAATTGCAACATTTGGAAAGTGTGAGTGGTAGGGACAAAGTGTCTATACGCAGACAGTTGGTGTGCTAAAATTGCTGAAACTCTAAGAAGATCACAAAGCGTGTGTGCAACAGCTTTCAAACGACTAATCGCGAAAATCGTTAATTCGATGATAGCGATTCGTGAATTTCGACTGCTTGCAGTACATGCATGTAATCATTCACGAAACAAGTGACAATTTGCCAGGCGTATCGCGCGTGTCTTTTTTGGGTGGGAATTCGACAGACACAGTTAATTTCGTGTAGTTCTCTAGCATTAAAGCCTATTCACTTATAGTAATTAATTTGATCTACTAGTAATTGTCCTACCATTAAGTGTAAATAAGGTAATGTTAATTAATTATAACATTAAATACGATAATGTAAATACAGTAATGTTAATGTGACATGCACTAAAAACAAAACCTGGACGTTAACCAGAGGTAAATTCCTTCCATAGCTCATGGCGTAATCAAGCGTGGGATGTGCCTGGATTGTGTAATAAATTGTTAACTACATGTATTCATCGGGGGGGGGGGGTCACAATTAAACAATTTTTTTTTTTTTAGGGGAGAGGCGGACTATTTTGACGTTGGTGGCGCCACTTAAACCCCTAATTGAACCACTTACATCCCTGTTACCTTAACATGACAACCTCTTTGGGGTGGGGGGGGGGGGGGGGGCTCAAGCTCGAGGGCCCCCGAACGCCCCACCCCCCCCCCCCCTGCCTTGGGTGCGCCATTAGTTTTATGTGACAGGGTCTGGTTTGCCCATTGTACTGAGTTACATGGTGTGCCATTTAAAAAAAAAAACAAGTGCGACCTCTTTTGACATTTTGAGAAGAAGTTTATTATACAGTCAAGTTTGTTCGATGGTTGTTTTGCCATGTTTTTTATCATGAACGCTATGCTTTGAATCGGCGATACGTTTTGAAGTGTTTTCATGGAGATAATGTAATATTTAACTATTGAAAGTCTGAAACAAATTTGAAGTAAAGGAAAAAAAATCATTCTGTAAACAGTGACTTCATAGGACATTGAATTTGAAGCATAGGCCTAACTATGTACTATAACCTCTCTTTGCATTGTGTGCATGCAAATACTCTATTTAGGCCTTTTGCAAGTGACAGACAGACAGACATCAGACAGCATAGGAAAGACAGCAAAACATGTTTTAATATAGGATGGTGGGCCTGATCTGGTGTGCCCTAATCATGGCTAGGACTGGCGATATTAGGGGTCTATGCCCCACTGAAATGCATTTCTCTTCCAGTTTGCCCATAACACTGGTATCAGTCAATGTTTGACTAAATAATAAAAAGACCTAAGGCACAATTCAAATGAAATTGCTGCATTAATAAATGTGATTCATTGCAGTCTGAGAATAATTAAGGCCAATGTAAGGCCGGTAGTTAATTATGTCCAGTCGCCTTGAATCGATTATTTACTTCAGGTGTGGGATGCTAGCTATTACAGGTAACAAATACTACGGTGAATGCCGGTACTAAACCCAATTTAAACATCTGATTGGAGAGACGCAATTTGTGCTGAAGAAGTGGTTTGTCAAAACACACAAACTGAACATTGCATCTGCTGGATTTGAATCACCAACCCTCACTCACTCACCCAAAACCGCTCGATCACATTACGTCCTATACGGTAACCCATTTTCGACCCTACCGTCAACCGTGAAAGTCTTGAATACTTACCGACCGTCAAGAGCGTCGCAATCCCCATCAGCACTGCTCGTACGTGTCGCATGATGAAGCAGTTGTCTCGAGACAAAAATACTTGGGCCACAGTCAAATGTCAACAAGACGCTATGGTGAGCGTGTTTGAATAATGCAAGACGGGCCTCTTAATTATTGTTCAGTGCAGCAAGACAATCTCAACCGGTGCTCACTTTGCGTATTCTCCCCCAAAACTAGCTGAACCCCCGGCCGCGCTTGGGCTTTTATGGAAACCAACAGCGTCACGAGGTCCCTAGATTTCCGTGTTAGGTTTTCTTCTATTGTTATAACCGCGACAGACGGATACAGAAATGATACGGCTCTCTGAGCTTCAGTCATTGCGCAAGTGAGTCGGGAATTTCCAGAGCGCGAAACTATACTGGAAATTACTTTCAGACTTCGAAAGCAGTGCGCTTGTCCGTGCCCCGTAGTCCCCCCCCTTATGTTTTAGAGAGCAGTGTTTCGGTGGGAGGGATACATTAACCTAGAAAAATGGGTCAAAATACTCAATGGAATACTTAAGTTCATAATAATAATGCGTATTTTTATGCATCCACCATTATTGGTGCTATATCATTATTACCCTGCTCATTGAGCCAATGCAATATTGCAAATACCATCTCAGTTTCCTGGTGAGTACAACTCGATGCTGCCATTTCAGCACAAAGCAACTAAAATCAGTTACACCTCTTTGTTCCGACACCCCTATGTTCCGAAAACTCAACCTATGTTCCCGTATCCCTATGTTCCGACACCTCTATGTCCCGACACCCCTATGTTCCAACATCCCTATATTCCGACTACTCAAAGTATGTTTCGACACGCCTATGTTCCAACACCAACTATGTTCCGACTGCTCATATTCTTATCCCTAACCCTAACCCTGACCCTAAGGGGCGTCGGACCAATGGGACTTCGGACCAATAGGACTTCGGATCAATGGGACTTCGGACCAATGGGACGTCGGACCAGTGGAACTTCGAACCAATGGTGCTTCGGACTATAGAGACGTTCCCGGAACATAGAAGTGTCGGAACAGGGTCGTCAGAACACCGAGCATTCACCTCTCCTGACCGCTAACATTTTGAAACTGTTTCGCCACTGTTGCTTTGAGCGTGATATATCTAAGTTTATATCAGTTTTCGAAGGCCAATGGCGATTAATATGAGTGGCAATTGATAATACGGTATGGAAAGCTATCGAGCATTATTTAAATATGGCTGTCTCTCTATTTGCATTGTCTGTGTCCAAGGACACCTTCTAAAGCTAGAACTATAGTCAGACATATTTTTTCTCATTTGTTTAAAAGGGCTTTTCCGCGCATGTATTTTTAGCAGCAGGCCCCATTCATACCCTTTCTCGGTACCAGCAAATCACCGTAGAATGGTGCGTGTACCGATGTTTTACTTGTTCGCTTTGTAATTTGTAGCTCGCGCAGTGGTGCATCCCAGAGCACAAGTTTCAAATTCTTTCATAATAATGACCTTTGCACTCCTTGGAAATTCCCCAGTGAAAGTGCGCGGCCAGATCACGCGCTCTTTCTATTTTTGTCCCGATTGTTTGTTAAATGTGTGTGTTATTGTCACTTCTAAAAGCAGGTACGTGCTAAGTCTCACGTGATTTTGACGACGATGTAACGTGTCTTTCGCAATCATGGGTTTTTCCAGACCCCCTTCCAAAAAGGGGGCCAGCAGATGATGGGAAATTAAAACAACTACCAGTTATAATTAATGAATAAAACTAATGAAATCACTAAGCATATTGCTGTAACAAGGAACAATGAATATGTGCTCCGCCGGTTTAAATTAAATTTAATTCATGTACGTCTGTCGATTTTGTATTGTGCCAGAAGAGTCGACTATTGCTAATTATGAGACGATTTTCAGTTTTTGCATTGCGTAGCTTGACGGCAAGGCACTCAGCTCTGCAGTTTCTATTAATGTTGTGCTAAAAAAAAAGAATCGTTGTTGTCAATGCTCGGGGTGGCAATTGTTGAAGCATGCTCGGGCGTGCTCATACACTATAGACAGGTCTGGTGACTCTTGTCGTTATGTTGCAGTCTGATGCTTTTCACATTTCATAGGTTTACATAAAGTACAGCAATAGACTATGAATGAAACATTACAAAACACTGTCTAGTGTAGATCCCAGATTCGGAAGTTTGGGCGAGTGTGATAAATGATCCTGATATGGTTTAGCCTGTTTTTAAGGCTTCCTTCGTTATGATTTTAAACCTAGATTTTAAGTTATTAATGTTCTCCTGCAGCCCAATAATTAAAATGAACACTTTGGAAATCTACGATGCTTTGTCCTGCACTCTAAGGCAATTTGAGAACAAATTTAGGAACTTTTGCGAAAGCCGTGGCTCGCATTGAATTCTGGGTCTGCGGGTAATTCTGCAGGTTTTGGGTTCGAGTCCAGCCTGCGGCTATGGTACGTGGGCCCTAAGGCAAGGCACTTTCTCACTCACTGCTTCTCTCCACCAAGGAGTCAACTTTTGGTAGTGCTGTGGTCTTGCGGTCTGGTTCATTGAATGCGTGGTCTGCAGGCAATTCTGCGGGTTGTGGGTTCGAGTTTAGCCAGCGGCTATGGTACGTGGGCCCTAGGCAAGCCGTGGGTTATGGACCATGTGCGTGTGCCCTTGGGCAAGGCACTTTGTCACTCATTGCTTCTCTCCACCCAGGAGTAAATGGGTACCTGTGAGGGTGGTTAATTTTAGTGGTGACTGCTCTATGTTCCGACACCCTTATGTTCCGACGGCCAAATGTTCCGACAACTCAACCTAAGTTCTGACACCCCTATCTTCCGTCACCCCTATCTTCCGACACCCCTACCTTCCGACTACTCAACTTATGTTCCGACACCCCCATGTTCCGTCAGCCAGCACATAATATTGTGTTACTCCCGGTGATGGTTAGGGTTAGCTTTAGGAAAACAGGGTTAGGATTAGCGTCTGCACCTCGGACGTGATGTACTTGGTTACAACGGGCACTGTGATTGCTGGAGGCGGGGCGCTTACGTCCATGGGCGGGGCGGCAAAAGCTGAGTGGGGAGGGGACATGAAGTGTCGGAACATTTGAAAAAAATTCTTTTGTTACTTTGTTATTATCAGATGAAAGTGGTGAGTTCATCTTCAAGAAATGAGTTTAAATATATCTTTCTGAAAGTCTCTGTGGGGACCTTAATTAACGCTGCTCCGTGTGACGTTAAATGACGCGTATTTCTGTAGGACCCACCATTGCACGGTCACCATCAGCACTCTACATCACAATTATCACCATTAATGTCCTCATTATCAAAATCGCCACTACTGATCACCAAGTAGGCTTATCATTCACAATTGAGTTTTCACAATTACAAAATAAATACAGGAAGTCAGCAACATTATGTACATTACAAAATCATGAGATGGTAATTCATCATGTTTTATGAAATATGACACAAGTTCATGTTGAAATGTAGACAAGACATCACGTAGGATAATATAGACGTGGCATTGCAAGGCAGAACAAACAGGAAGAGCTGGAAAATTAATAGCACAGAGGGGGGACGGCCACATGCATTTATACTAGGAGCAGGTCCATACGGTTTCGGGTATCGAAACTCATTCGTGTCCCTAAACGAGTGTGAGCCTAGTACAGTGTTACATCCATTTCCCGAACCCCAGGTGTTTTTAAGCCGTACCCAACACTAAGTATTCCCATATCTCATGTCATCTGTATCTGTGTAGTAAAACTACGAGCCAATACATGTTATGTGTGATAAGAGGCTTGTGATTATTTATAGTTACCTTTGGAAAAAAGGCTTGGATTATAGTGGCCCGGTTTGCCCCCCCCCTTCAGTGGATGTCAGTCCATTACAGGTAGACACAGCTAGTGCGTGCCGGTACCCACTTTAAACATCAGGCTGGAGAGAGGCAAGTGAGGGACCGGTAAAAGCTAGTGGCTTGCCCAAGGACACAACACAAAAACAACATTCCAGTTGCTGGATTCGAGCCCCTGACCATCTGATCATTAGTCACGCACCCAAAACCGCCTCGATCACACTGCCCTAATACGGGCAAACCGATTATGACCCTATACCTATCAACCACGGCAGTCTTGTACTTACCGACCGCCAGGAGCGTCGCAAACCCCATCAGCACTGCAGGTACCTGCCGCATGACGTACAGTCCTCTCGAGGTGCAAAGACTCGTCAAAATCGGACTGTAGCCGATACTACAAGACGCTAGACGTGTTTAACCGTAAATAAAAGGGGCCGGGTTATTTTGACCATCTCTCAGCCGGGGGGGGGGGGGGGGGGCGGATTCCGAGCACATGCATAGAGCAACTCTTCCTAAACATGCCCAAGAAATTTCATGACTATAGGTCAAAGGGTTTTGGAATTATGGCTAATTAATTATTCATATGTGTAAATGGCAATTCTGCTCGGTGTACACGACGTATATGTGAAAATTCAGTTTTCACGGGGCGTAGCGCCAGAAAATTTTTCGCTACGTGCCAACCCAAGGTCCGATTTTTATGTTTTTGGTATCAAAAGATGCGCAAAGCTCGAGGCTAAAAAGTCATAACAGTTCGGGTCGCGAAATTTTTTTTTTTTTAGAAGCTATCGCGGAAAATGTTGAGGGGGGGGGCGGATTCCGCCCCCGGCCCCTTTAGGGTTAAATGGCGCAAAAGACAGGCCTCTTCTTTTTTGAGCGCAAAAAGACAGTCTCAACCAGTGCTCACTTTGCGTACTCTTCCCCAGCCTGGCTCTACCCCGACCGCGCTTGGGCTTTTATAGAAATCCAACACCGCCAGGCCCCCTGGGCTTCCTGGTAAAGTGCTCCATTTTTGTTTAGTGATCGCAGCCGACGGAAGTAAAAAATTATATATTCAGTCGTTGCGCAAGGTGTCAGAAATTTCCAGAGTGTGCGGGAATTCCCACCTACTCCGAAACTTTGACAAAGCTGAGTATTTAAAGAAAGGTCACGAACGGGGAATTTTGAAATATCTGACACTGAGAAGCTTGTTTGTGCGAGCGCAGAAATGAAAGATACTTCGATCGATGCGATCGATGGACACTTTTGGGGCACCAACACTTCGCAAATGACACAAACAAAAATAATCTTCAAGTTGGTGTTCTTCCAGGTATAATAGAGGAAGCGGGATGCTTTTTGAAAGTGAGAAAGCACACAAGGAAAAACTCTCAAAAACTTAATAACGGGAGGGGGGTAATGTACTCAATGTGTTACGTTAAGTTTCATTAATTCCTTCACTATCCATTTTCTTTTTCCATTCTTGTTTCC